TGGCTTATCATGTTATAAGAACCTAAGACTACATCAGAGCAGAAAATAGCTATTACCATTTGAATAGGCAGCTCTGGAATGAAAAAAGGCTCACATAACTGATGAAATTAAATACCACCTACAAAACATTCATGTTATTTACTTACCCATGTAGATATCACCTACCTCTAAATAATTTATAATAAAATGCATTAGTACTGTCATGCTGGGCGTCCTCCCCTTAGGTTGTATCTACACTCCATTCTGCTCTGTGACCAGGGAGTTGTCCTACATGGGTCCCTACCCTCTGGCTCCTGGTCGGGCTCAGTCAAAGTAAAACATTGGAAATGAGGATAAGGGAGGACAGTGGGGTTTGGAAGCATTATGTCTCCAACTCCTTGCCCTGCAGAGCTGTGCTGACTAACTGTGCCCTCTACCAAAGGCCTCAGCTCCTGTCAAGTGGCTCTCCCCACATCAGCCTTTCTGACTCTGCTCTATGGCTCTGAAGCAGCCAGGCTACTGAATGGCTCCTTGTGATTGCCCTGCATTCCAACCCTCCCTTGTCAATTGTCCTCTTATTACATTCTTCTGGACTTATCCTAATTTTGAGTGTTCTATTGGTTTCCTATTAGGAATCATTAAAGTAGAAAAACAGTAAGAGAATGAGAGACAAAAAATTAAGAGAATGGGAATATAGTTATGTCCTCAAACCAAGACTAAAAAAGGGTGCTGTAATTGAACACAGTTAAAGTTAAAAAGAAACATTTAGGTCTTGTTTGTGAATAATATATATTTTGTGTATCTAGTTAAAAATTATGACCTCCTCCTGAATAAGCCATTAAAGCATTTGAAATAATGACCTGGAAGCAAATTACAGAAGCCTATATGTTTAAAGATTCAATATTATACAGATTGCTTGAAATCAGACACCAAACCATCTTCCTAATAATGCTTTAGTACTAACTTTATACTTTCTATCTACAAACAAGAAATTCTTATTTCATGCTGAGTTATAATAATTCTTGGACTGAAGGAGTAGAAAACATATAATTTAATGGTTGTATAATATTAATCCAAATTTTTAAAAACTAAACTCTGATGTGCTCCAGTATCATAAACCATCATGCTTTTAATGAGAAGCAAATTGCTTGAAAGATTACAAAAGTAAGATGAGATATAAAAGTGATCTTAAAACTCTGAAAAAATAGCACAGCATTATTTGACTCACAAATTTCTATAGGGAATAGTTTCTTTTGTTTATTTACACGTTTACTGGCTTTTGGTAAAATGAACAAAATGTGGAACTATGAAAAAGTAACATTCAATACAAATCAGAGATAATAGGAGGAGATGCGGAACAATGAGCACCTGTATTGGTTTTAAGAAAAACAAGCTTTCTCTAGACCCTCAGCTGGAAGTCAAGAGAGAAGCTTTAAATTCAATTCTTATCACTTGCACTGACTTTCTCATCCCCCTATCAAAAATCACTCAAGAATTCTATAAAGCAATGTGTTTAAAATCTGTCTCAACAAATGTCCCAAAGGACTAGTTAAATACACTTAGCCTTAATTTTAGTTTGAGTCTTGCAACTCCAATAATTCTTGACACACACTTCCTGTTCCTATTAATTGACGAAAAGTGAAAGGAACTGTCCTTAGGGAAGTGCTTAGTTCAGAGTTTATCATCCTGCATATAAAATTGCTGGCTAGTTCCCATCCACAAGTTTGTTTATTCTTGGACCAGAGACCAGAAGAAGTGTCCACTCGGTTAATGATGATCAATTAAGCCTTATTATGTGTCAGACACAATACAAGGTACCAGGGATAAAAAGATGAATAATGCAGATCAATATGGAAAGTGCTATGCTAAGGGTACATAAATAGTGCCTTAGAAGGTAAACCTAGCTATGTCTGGAGAAGAGGGAGAGGGAGGAAGGCTGACGAAGCAATACTGAAATTGAATGTTAGCTGGACAGGTGGGTTTTAGCAGGCAACAGGGCAGGGAGAGCTTGTCAGGCATATAGTAAATGCCCAAATATCTCAATAACAATCCAGTGGCAGAGCCTCATGAAAAATAATCAAGGAATACAAGATAGGACAAAGAATGGAAGGTAATAAACCTTAATCAAAGGTCATTGGCGTGCCAAGGACACTGCTAACATTTTTACTGCAGTGTTCAGAGGAAGATGCAAGAAGATGGCTTTTGTTCTAGTCTTACAGGTAGAGTAAAATTAGCAAGTGAAAGAGGGAAATAAAATAATTCTAACTGAGAAAAATCTGCAAAAGGCAAATAAGCATGCAAGTGCATGGCCGCCATCTCTCTTCTATTTCCATTCTCGCCCTAGAGACCGTATTCAGTCCTGAACCATCAGATACCATTTTAAGTGGATGTCTCTTTTGTTTAGATCTCCAGCCCTGAATCCTCTCTTGAGCCACCTCTCTATACCTTCAGGTGTTCGTATGGAATCTCCACTTGAAGGTCTTATAGTTATATCAACTGTTTAGTGTTCAATTCTGAACTCCTGATTGTCTTTTTTTCAAACCTGTTGTTCTCCTCCTCTTCCATCTCAGTATTGGTACTATCATCCAACCAGTTACTCTAGCAAAAATCTAGGCATCATTCTTTTGTTGTTGTTGTTCTTGTTGTTAATCCTCATCTGAGATATTTTTTCATTGATTTTTAGGGAAAGTAGAAGAGAAAGGGAAAGACACAGAGAAACATTGATGTGAGAGAAACACATCAACTGGTTGTCTCCTGCACAATCCTCAACCAGGGCCCAGCCTGGGGAGGAGCCTGCAACCACAAGGTACAGGCACTTGATTGGAATCCAACCTGGGACTCTTTGGTCCACAGGCTGATGCTCTATCTACTGAGACAAACTGGCATGGGCCAGGCACCATTCTTGATTTTTTTTCCTTCAGCATTCATATCTAATCCCTCAATGAGCATTTGACTCCACTCAAAAGCATATCTCAGATTTGAACACTTCATTCTGATGATCATAGCCAAGAAGCCAAGAAGTAATCTGACTTCAATTCCTGAGTACAAATGATCATTTTTGCCTTATTCTCTCTGGCTCCTTGTTTTTTTCCCCCCTGCTCTACCATTCATTCATCATTCAATAGCCAGAGCTATCTTTTACAAATATCAGCCAGATCAGGTCACTCCTTGCTTTAAGCGCTTTGGAAGCTTTTCCGTTTTTCTAGAACTAAATTATTGCCTAATATCAAGTCCCTATTTTAGCTTGCTGATTTAACCTCCAGTCTTAACTCACACCATTTGCTCCAGCTATACTGGCTTCGGCCCAGTAAGGAGTAAATCAAGGGAGAGAGAGAGGCAGTTTGACTGACTCATGGTACAGCAATAGATGAGGATACTAGAGAGTAAAGAATGAGAACAGTTCGTTCTGAGATGTCAAAAAGAGCCTCAGGTGTGACATACTTCTAGAGCCTGCACAGGACATTGTACCTAATGGCGTCAGCAATCTCAGGATATTAGGAACCCGGGGTGGGTCCACTTGTAGTCAAGGCATTGTCGACAAAGGATCACTGACTTGTCTCCAAGGCCAGGGCTGGGAGTAAGCAAACACTGGAACCCAGAGCAAAATGCTCTTCAGTATCTGTCCTATTTCAAATTTTAGTTTTGAAGTAGCTTTATTTTCTCTTAATTATAAAAGAAATAGATACTCATTGCAAACAATAAAGTAACACAGAAAAGTATAAAGAATAAAATAAAGATCACTTATAAATTCTAGAGGGAGACAATATAGTCACTGTTAACAGAGCGCTGTCTGGCACTGATAGAATCCCTGGCCTTAGTTATTAGGGCTCTGAAGTGCACCTGTCAGTCAGTTTTCTCCCTCTCCCTCGCCTGTCCTCTCTTTCACTTCCATTTGTGGTGTTGCTCCCTTTCTGGCTTCGTCCCTGATCTCCCTAAATTCAGATTTCAATCATTTTTGTAGTGGAATCACTTTACTTGGAACTCGTCTACTTATTTCTTAAGTGTTGAACGGATGTGGCTGCTGAGGTTGCAGGCTCTGCAGTGGCTGTGGTGCTCTGGATGCTCCTTTTGGTCCTCCCTGGGGTCAGACACTGCATTGCTAGGGAAAATCTGGAAACTTCTGAGCTTTTCACATGCACTTTTAAAAAGAGAAAATGCCACACTGGGGATGGGGCTAACCCATCCTCTAAGGCAGACCCTCTGTGAGTCACTCACTATCATTCACCTGGGAGGTACTCGTTTTTTACCAGCAAGATCAGTCTCTCAACCCAGACACAACATGGTAGGCCAGAGTCAAATAAACATAAACTTCAACTGCCCCACCAGTGGGAGAGCCCTGAGAGATGCTTTCAGCCCCTGATGCTAGCGCGTGTATAATTCTGGTTTTCTCATTCTGCCTTCAGAGAAAGAAAGTGAAGCAGGCCTAACAAAAGCAATGCTTGATAAATTTGTCCTTTATTTTACCGCCTAAGTCATACCTGCTATATATCACAACACGGCTAATTTTTTCTTTTCTTCCTTCCTCCCACCTATCTCCTGCTACTTCCCCAGAAGCATAAAGCTTTCAATATCCTGCTGTCCATTAGCATAAATAAACTCGTGCTTTTAAAGTATAAATAGGCTTGATGCTGTATTTGTTAAAGACTGTATTACCAGAAGGGATAAAAATATTCTTGAGTGGCAGGTAGATCATACACTTCAGAGACAATAACATGCCTTTATTGTGGTTCCCTGAAAGTCAATTATTCTAACCATAGATTAAAACCTTAGGTGTCAGCCCAAGTCACATTTCCACTTCAGAAATTGGTAAACCGTACCATGTCTCAGAATGTGACCCTCCGTGTTTTAATTTTTTTTTCTGTTGCCAATATATTGCAAGCAGATCTAAAAAATGAAAAGGATGAAGTGCCATTTAAATTCAATCTTTGCTCTATGAGCCAGTGGGTAATGTTGTTATAACTTTCTTCTTGTTTTTATATCTCTGTTGTTAATTTAAATTTTATGTAACATTTACACAACAGATCAGAAAATACTGGGCTAAAAAAGAACAGAACTGGCAAGAAATGGAAATGAGAGATCTTCGGCGTCTAGAAGAATTGAAGAAAATAATGGCTGAACAGTCAGTAAAAGACAGAGAAAGGTAAAAGAAAAAAATTAAATTGTGTGGTGATGGAGATAGTGGATGGGATCTTCTATCCTTTGTTAGGATAAATAATATCAGTGGAAACATTTTTTATACTAAATATAAACTTACAGTATTTATATTCACAAATGGCTAACAGATACTTCTGATGTATTTTAAACTCTCAAATTCATACATGAACCACTAATTTTTTATTTTGTTCCTTAGAAAGTTTCCTAGTTAAAACACTCACAGAAGATTCCATAGTATTTGATTGCCCACTGTGTACATGAATGATACTGGCTGCTGCTGTAATTAATATTTTGACCCAGATAGAGGAAAGCATTATTCAGAGGAGAAGGGAGACCCACTTACTATAGCTGAGACTGGGGAAGACAATGCACAATTATATTGTGCTGTATGGTATTCATTGTAGTATACTTCATTTTTCTATATTTGGATATAGAGGGGGAAAAAACACCCTGAATTTCTTAGAATAATATTTGTTTGTTTTTGAACTGGAAAAAACAACAACAAATGTTGTAGAATAATGTTTGCTTGTTTATTTGTTTTCAAACTGGAAAGGACATTTGAGATCAACTAACCCAACCTCCTCATTCTATGAATGAGTATACTGAGAAATTAAAGCTATTTTCCCAATTTTACTGTATCAATCAGATTCAGTGGAAAAGACAGAGACATTTAGTAATTTGAATAGGAAAAGCTTTCAATAAAGAATTGTTCATTCCAGCAGAAAAATCTGTTACATAAAGGGATAAAGAGAACTTTATTTGTTTTTATTTTATTTTTTAAAATTTATCTTTATTGTTGGAAGTATTACAGATGTTCCCGTCCTCCCCAAAGAGAACTTTAAAAAGAGAACTTTTCCCAGGAATAAAGGAGGGTTCCCAAGAAAGAAAGAAATTTGGGGTTTGTTTCCCATCCCTCTCCGTGGTTGGGATTCATATACTTCATTGTAGAAGGTGTGGTTGTGGCCCGTTGAATGGTGGAGAGGTTCTTGGGGGGTCTCAACAAGATCTTGTGCACAGTCAGCAGGCAAGCAGGAATTCCCCTCCTAGGTGCAGGAGGCCAAAGCTGAAAACCAACCCCTGGTATGTTTGCGAGACTCTGATCATGGGAAGGCCTCTAAATCTGATGGGCACCTGATTATGAGGTGACATTGGAACTTCATGGGCACAAGCACCATGGATGTCTCTTACACACGCCACTGGCCACCACATGGTGGAACAAGAAGGGGTAAATACTGGATCTGGGAAGGAAAATCCGCTTTCTTCTTTAGCGTCCTGCCAGCACTCCTTTCTGATATCACATTGTATGAGTTGCGAGAGAGAAATAATTGCAGGGTTCAGCTCTTGTCCTAGAGCAGACAGGGAAGAGTGGATTTGGATTTGAGAGACAATAAACTGGTAATTAGCAAAGTGATCTAGTTTTGCTAGCTCCTGAGTGGACTTTCACAAAAGATAAATTGAGGATAGATCTTTCATTTCATAACATAAATCACAATAAATATTCTTTATAGTTAGTCAATGTAAAAAAAAAATTGCCCGGAACTATATACTTCCTGTTCAGTTTTGCTGGGAACCTAAAACTGCTCTAAAAAATAAATCAATTTAAAAAATTGCTCCTTAGACTTGTAAATAACTTTGGAGGTTTTACCATTTGATACACAGGGGTTCACTTGTATCTAGGAAGCTTCTGGTGTGATCTGTGGGACAGTCATTGCAGACTCCAATCACAATATTGGGGAGTGAATCTGGCGTTCCACATAGATGCCAGGAAATCCCTAAGGATTTCCTAGATGAAATTCACATTACTTTCCAGGTTTCTCAGGATTTTAGAGTTCAATTTAGTCTATAATCTTAGTCCAGGCTTAAGACTAGGAGGTGAAGCAGCCAGTGGGAAACTGGATAAAAAAAGCACAAACCAAGAGATGAGTGGAAATCAGAAGACAGGCCATATGCCATGGGTCAGAGACAAAAAAATCTTAAATAACTAAGTATTTAAAGGCCAAGGCCAAGACAAGGTGAGGGTCAAAAGGCTGGCTGGATAGTCTGAAACTATGCCAGGGAAACAAAAGTGAGCCACAGGAATTAAAAGGAGGTGGGAAAAACAGAACAGATTCAAGGTCCTAGCAACTAGGGGACATTTATCTAATAGAATCTTTCCTCATAGCCCGGGGTTTCTTTGATTACTGAGCCATTTTAGTCCTTTGCTTCCTGTCCCAATAATTATCAAGATTAGCTGACTCAGAACTCCAGTTGAAAAGAAGAAAAGGAAAGTCAGATTAATCTGCATTATGTAACAGGATAAAAATAGGCACATTATAACAAAGCAAAAAGATTACTAAGGACTAGGAACCAGACAACGGGGGTTTTAGTGTTAAATCTTCCTGAATAGTGAGTGACCTAAGGAAAAGCATTCTTTTCACCTCTACAAGGCTCTGTTTTGTGCTTTGTCAACGTGAACTGGATGATTTCTGTGAGTTAAGGGAGCTATTAACTCTTAAAGGTCTATGATCTGTATGTTCCGCTCATGTGAAATGTTGTAGATTAAGATTATGATGAATCCAATACTTGCATGCCAATGGAAACATCCGTGAAAAAGGTCATTAAAATATTAGGTTAATATATTAGGAAATAATACTCAGAAAATTGTGGGTGATGTAGTTAAAAGCATAGTCCCCATTCTGCGATTTAGGGAAGTAAAGTTCAGCGTGTAAAAATTGCTGGTGGCTTTTTCTTCTGAACCAAAAGTTGTATTTTTCATAACCATCCAGAAACTAAGAAATTGGTTGATTGGTTAAAATGTTTTTCTCCACTACTGAAATACAATTCACAAATCTCATATTTGATGTTATACTTGTAAGCACATTTTTCTCATATCAGAATAAAAAGGCTTGACACAGTTTTCAGATTTGTTAAAAATGCACACATACAGCCATGAGGGTTTTGGAAACGTCTGCTCTTTATTGTTTTACTTATAATTCTAAGAAAGTTTCTTGAAAATAATATTAATAAATCATCACATATATTAGGTTGAACCATAAGCAAATTTCATTTTTTTGTGTAAAAAACGGTTAAGTATTCACAATTTCACCTGGTTCAACATAATTTTAAAAAAATAGCAATTCATTTGTTAATTGTATTTCCCTTCTCATTCTATTATAAAATATCTTTTGCCTTCATCTTTCTACTGAAACTGTTGCCAGAGTTTTCACTACCCTGCTAATTTCCTGATGCCTTATTTTCATTTCTAAACATGCTGTAGAGGTTAAAAGGGAAGGCTCTATCAAGAGTCAGGTTCTTGAGGTTAGAATCCTGGTTCTACCCTTTATAGCTGTATGCCCTTGGCTGAGTCATTTAACTCCTCTGAACTTCAGTTTCTTCTTCTGTACAATGAAGGCACAAATAGTCTATATTTTATAGAATTGTTGCAAGGGATTAAGGAGATATTAAAATTAACATACTTCCTGGAACATAGTAGGTATTCATTAAATATAAGTGATTACTATCAATTGACATTTGAAAACATGATACACCTTCCAACATAAATTTTTCTCAAAATACATAAGCATTTGAAATATTTTAGATACAACATGTAATATGAGAACAGTTTTATAATAAATAAAACATTCAAGTTAAATCAGGAGCAAACTTTCATCAATATCTTCATACAATCTCTTCTGTAGAAATTATTTCTGTTATCAGTTGTTTAATACATAGGCATATATATATATATACATATATATACACACACACACACATATATATATGCCACCTATATATACCTACATAAAAATGAATTTAAGAACAGCAACAAAAACAATATATTTATGATAACATACCACTCTATTAACTTTGGCTGTTATAACTGGTGACTTAAACAACAGAAATTTATTTTCTCACAGTTCTGGAGGCTAGAAGTCCAAGATCAAGTTGCCAGCATGATTGGCTTCTAGTGAGAACTCTATTCTTGGCATAAAAACAATTGTCTTCTTGCTTTGTGTTCATGCAGTGGGGAGAGAGAAGCAGCTAACTCTTTATGCTTCATCTGTATGGGCACTAATCCCTATGGGGGCACACCCTCATAACTTCATCTACACCTAATTCTTTCCCAAAGGCCCTACTTCCAAATACCATTGCACTGGGGGTTAGGACTTCAACGTATGGATTTTGAAGGGACACATTCCATTTACAGTCACCATTTATGGGGGTGGGGGCGGGAGCATATATGTACATACAAATTACCTATTTATTACTAATGCTACTTATTGGTTGCTGCTGGCATATAAGGTTTTTGTTCCAATTAGAAAAGCTGCTTCCTTCTGGTGGCAAAGTGTTAGAAGTAGAAAATTAGGAAAAGGAAAGACTCCTGAGCCATGCATGGGACACAGCTTGACAAGTACCGGCAGAGCTGGACAGACATCATTCCCCATTTCTACTCCTGGCTGGGCATCACTTTTGCAAAGTACAAAATGATATAGGCTACCCTTGCAAATAGCCTTACTTAATTCTTTCAAAATATTACATGTTATCCATGTTTCTTTTAAAATTTAGCCATCTGGGACTTATTTTCATGAATGATAGGAGCTAAGTGTCTGATTTTCATTTTTAGGCCTAAATTGATAGCAAGTTATCTCAACACCAATTATTTGATGATTCATTCTTACCCACTAATTTGAAATGCTTTCTTTATCATATATTACACTTCTAATTATGCTTTTCTATCCATATGGACTCTTGATTAGATGAAATAAAACCTGATCTATATTTATATTTTCACATGCTATTTTAATTATTCTGTTTGCTATCTGATTGAGCAAGTGTTCACTCATTGTTCTTTTCAAAAATATTTTAATTGGAAATGTGAAATTTCATTAAAAAAATCCTGTTGATTGTTTGCACTGAAAGTTTGTTAAGGAGAACTGATTTAATCTCTTATCTAGGATCATGCTTCCAGAATAGCTCTTCAGTTCAAATCCTCTTGTAGGTTCTTTA